GGAGGTCACCTGTCAACTTAGGGTAGTGTCTAAAGATTACTTCGTGCGGCTATAAATGACCGTCAAATGAAATGATGAATTTTTGAAGGGTTTTGAAAATGGAAAAAATGATAGTCATGCCAGCCCAGCATCATCAACATTGAAAAATGCCCCGGCATGAAGTGGTTGATTGTCTTAATTGCATCGAATGTAAGAATTGTACCGAGTGTGAATACTGCATCAACTACAAAGATTTATATGGCATATCATTTGTCATATTTATATACAACAGTAACAGCGGATACGGTTGTCATGAAAGGATTAGATTTAAAAAAGAAGATGGTCCCGACTGTGAAACTGACTTAAATGTAGCTATAGAAAAACTCAATGTCGGATATGCACAAAACGGGACGCTGGATTGAGCACCATGATCTTGCAGTAAATTCCCTAACTCTCATGAATCCCAAAAATGCCGAAAGCAAGACGGCTTTAAACATCACACTTTCAAAATGGGAATAGCAGATATGAGGTAATGAATGCAACAGATCTACCAAAATTGGTAAGGATATAGGTACATGTAGTCTATCATCAACACATGGCCGATCCCACCTACAGCCCCCTAACAATTTAGTGACAATGAAATTTGCATTAGATCTGGCCAACCATTGATTTTGGGAAAAATCCCACTCCAGCAACATACGAAGCAATGGTTGAAGGCGCCAAGTTAGGCAAAGACAACCAACAAATTCTTGAATATCAAGAGGTACTGCTGAGGATGTTGCACCAGGTCTCCACCTCATGAATTGACAAAATGTATTCCAGCCTGTGGTATATGCCTTCCTTGTGTTTGATGCAACAGAAATACCCAAAAGGCAATTCATCTCACCTATAACCACACCTCGGGGAGGATTGGTAGCGGAGTCATGGCATGCTCGGCATGTGGGGCTGTGATGCGAAACCGCTGTATCTGAAAACGAGACACAGTGTCAGCTTGCTCATTATGTACATGTACATCCAGAACATGAATTACCTTTAACACGATGTTAAATTGTAGGCAGTCCATCACAAATATGCGCAATAAATGCATAATTTGGGACAGCCAGAAGACTGCTTATTGACAATTTGCATAACTGCTGCATTGTCTGAGTGAAATCTAATCTTATGATTGACCAACACAGAGCCCCAGCACTTAATGGCAACCATTAATAAAAAAAATTTCAGAAGAGCAATTGATGGGGGATTCTGAATCACATCTTCTGGCCATCTACCTTGAGTCCATTTGCCACCGAAGTACACCCCGAAACCAATGTTTGCTGCTGCATCAGTAAACAGTTCTAATACTTCATTACTTTCCCACTCATTGCTCAGAAAAGCAGACACGCCATTGAATTGTGACAAAAATGCAACCACATTAACAAATCTAACCTGGCACCTTTATTTATGCAAACTTTGTGGTGCGGTTTAGTGAGCCCAGTAGTGAGTGCAATTAAGTGCCTTGTGAATGTTCTTCCTGGAGCAATGGCTCTACACAAGAAATTTAGTGGGCCTACTAGTGATTGCACATCTGCCAAAGTGATTTTAGTCTTACATACTGTAGTGTCAACTGAATTTGGGAACAAACTTTCTGCACTTTAACAGATCACTTGCACAAAAAGACGGGGTGGACAAAAGTGCGGTGAGAAGGTGGTAAAAAAAAAAGGGTGGCAAATTTATTTACCCGCCCCTGGATATGTACCCAGGCCAAGTACTTTACAACCAGAATATGCCATTCCCAATGACACGCATCAAATGGATGTGTTGTATTTACCCTGGGAGTGGGTCCAAAAGTTCCAAGGGGTAAAACATACAAGTACACATTAACCGTGGTCAAAGTGGCTTCCAGATACAAAGAAGCTGAACCTTTGATAACTAAAACGGCTGAATATTAAGTGACCAATGCCATAAAATGGGTCTATAGTAGGTCTCCATTGACTTGGCCTAAAGCGGTTAACATAGACTCGGGATCAGAGTTTAAAGGCGTATTTCAATAAGCGCTCTTAAAAAAAGACGTGAACCGGGTGTCCATCGATTTCAGGGGATCGTTGAACAATTCAACAAAACGTTGGCTGAGCATTTGTTTTTGTACCCGTATGAGCAAGAAATGTCAAAGCAGGGTAAGCAAAATATGGAATGGGTAGAGCGTTTGCCCAAAGTCGTAAAAGCGCTAAATGAAGAAGAAACTCAGTTGATCCATAACAAGCAAAGCGAAGCGAGCGAGTTGGTCCCACTGAAGCCATCAAGTTAGATCCCGTAAGGCAGTTATCGGCTGTGCCCAAGCAAAGTGAGTGAAAAGAACTTCCTCCAGATGGTGTCGTGCAATATTTGTATTACCCGGGTGAACAGGAAGGCGGTACCATTAAGAGAGCGTCTGATCCGACCTGGAGTGTGGACGTATATCAAATCGTGCCGCAGTTGCTTCTTAGTTACTACTTTAGTTACCCTTTTGGCCTTTTTGAGCTTTGTGCCATCTTTGAGTAAGATCGAATACATTTTAGGAAGCAGGCAAACGACTTCAGAAACGAGTTTGCCACCAAATTCATCTTTCACTTTGCCCATAACTTTTTTGTTTTTTTGTGTTATACAGGGGGTTATCTGTTGGGTAGTTTGAAAAGTCAAATAGATCAAGTTTTTTGCGTAGATATTGATTGCCTTCGTCGGTTTGGATTTGAACTAGTAAATTGTCAGTGTCTGTATACAATACACAAACCGTCTCCAAAGTCTGCTTTTAGCGTGTTGTAATAGAAGTCGTACATTAATGTTTTAGACAGATCAAGCACGCTCACGCTGCAGTAGATTGGTTTGTTCAACACAGCTTTTATGGGATACGTTTTAATGAATGATAGATCACACTCTGGGAATGGGGTGATTGATTTATAACAAGGCTTAGAATCCAAGCGTTTGTATTGTTTGGCATCTTGTTTATCTCTCAGTAGATATCCGTTAATATAGCCCCTCACATTTTCCATCGTTTTGCGAA